CCTCATTCATGCATTCGTCACTTCCGGCTGGACTATTCTAATGCCCTCCTCACTGGTCTTCCCAGTTCCACCATACATTGTATTCAACTAATTCAACCTCCGCCACCTGGATACTCACCCACACAAAACTACATACCGAATGGATCAATTTCAAGATCCTCTCGCTTGTTTTCAAATCCCTTCTTGCCCTCACACCTCCCTACCTATCTGACTTGCTCACACCCCACACCACAACCCGCTGCCTCTGCTCGGCCGGCTCCGGCCTCCTGTTTGTCCCTTGTCGCCTCCGCTCCACCATCGGTTGCTGTGCCTTCAGCCACTATGCCCCGAAACTCTGGAACTCTCTCCCTCAATCCCTCCGCCTTGTCCCTGCATGAAGGGCATTATATAAATGCAAGTTGTTGTTGAGTGATTTGCCATCACTCACTGGCAAGGCTCACACATTAACAATGGGCCCTTGGGCAGGGAACCAGGGGGCAACCAGTCTCTATCGATCTGTATCCTAGCAAGAGGAGGGTAGACCAGGAACAGGGAAGTATGTGCAAAGGGACAAAAATTAGAAAAAATATTTGAGCACACTAATTTTATTTTCAAAAATCTGATCAATTTCTGAGCTGTTTAAGTGATAGACCTAGAGATTTGAATTGACCAGTGGAGTGTAGGTCAGGTTCTTTTTGGAACACATGTCCGTGAATATAACATTCCTGATTTTATGTTGTAATAAGCAGATTGCCTGGATCAATTATGTTGTAGGCACACTACTGGGGAGAACCAAAAAAAATCTCAACATTCCACTCCAGAAAGCTTTGGCTCAGGTTATGGACTTGATGACATTTAAGCAGACAATTAGAACAGCAACGGGAATCGAGGGAAGGAGCTGAGAGGTAGAATTGGCAATCTACAAGGTACATATGGAAACTAACCCTATACTTGCAGATATCAAACTTAGGGCAGCATACAGGTAAGGAACAGGAAAGGACTAAGAATATATCTCTAGAGATGACCCCATGTGGGTCATTGGTGGAGATATTGTGACAGGAATGGAACTAAAGAACAATCATGGAAGTAGATCATGGTAAAAGAGGTGGAAGAGACGTTAATGGTCAACATTGTCAAATGCACTGGAGGGGTGAAAAAGGATGAGCAGGGTCATTGAGCCATCCATACACTTTGTAGAGATTATTTTCACAACAGCTCCTTAAGGAAATCTGTTTCTTTCAACTCTATGAAAGTTAGTTTCTTCATATCTCTCTGTCAAGTCCATGGAACTACTACTACCTCTTACTTTTGATAGTTCCTCTCTTAGTCCTTCAACTATTGAGATTCTTGACCATACTCAGGTCTGTCTTTTGCCAATTGATTCATGGCATGGACGGTATTTAGTCTTGTTGCAGGACTTATATCTAATGACCTGAATTCTGCAGTGGTAGAGTGGGTTGAAAATAGAAATCTGAAGTAGTGAAGATCATAAATCGCTTGAAATCAATGTTGTGAATAAAATTAACAAAATCAGCCTTGCATCAGCTGTAGATTTCCATCATCCATCATCTCCTCAAGCCCCCTCTGTCCTCACATCAAAACTCAAAGTGAGAAGAGGTCCTAGACTTCTTCATTAGAAGATTGAAAACATCCGCTTGGCTGCAATGTCCTCCCCCACTATGTCCCCTTCCACCCCACCCAGACCATCCACACCGCCTTCTCCCTCTGCCTCATCTCCTGCCACTCCCTGCTCCTTACATTCCTTTGTCCCCATTTCTCCCTCCTCCCTCTCAACTACAATCACCTGGATGAAGTTCACCACCTGCTGCCTCGACCCCCTCCCTACCCAACTGCTGGTCACTCAACTCCTCCTCCTCTCCCCCCTGCTGGCTGACACAGTCAACCAGTCTCTCTCGTCAGGCTCCGTTCCACTGCCCCTGAAAACCACTGTTATCAAAACCCGCCTCAAAAACCCACCCTTGAACCCTCTAATCTCTCACACTACTGTCCCATTTCCAACCTACCCTTCCTTGCCAAAGTCTTGGAATGCATTATTGCAGGTCAACTTCGGTCACATCTCTTCCTCTACTCCCTCCTCAAGCCCCTGCAGTCTGGTTTTCGCCCTGCCCACAGCACAGAAACAGTGCTTGTCAAAGTCACAAACAACGTCCTTTTCTATCTGTCGCCAGGCTCCTTCTGCCTTCTCATCCTTCTGGATCTCTCTGCTGCATCCGACACAGTCAACCACGCCATCTTCCTCACCCCCTCTCCTCATCTACCTTAGTGTGACCGCAATCGCATGATTCGAATCCTACTTAACCAACCACCTTCAGTTCATCTTGGCAAATGGTTTCTTCTCCCGTCCCCACCCGGTCACCTATGGGATACCCCAGGGCTCCATCTTTAGCTATATGGTTCCCCCTGGGTGATGTCATTCGCAGACAGGGGGTAAACTTCCACTCAATCCCTCCGCCTTGCCCCCTCTCTCCCCTTTTTCAAGTCCGGCCTGAAAACCTTCCTCTTCAACCTTGCTTACATTCAACTACCACCCCCACCTCACCCCGGCTCAGAGTCAGGCTCCACCACTGTTAAACGCTCTGAGACGTTCCCCGCCTAAAGGACTCTACATAAGTTGTCTCCATTGGTGACGTCATCTGCAGACATGGGGTCAACTTCCACATGTATGTGGATGACACCCAACTATCTTTCTGCCTCCACCCTCAACTCCAGGACCACTGCTGTCCTGACAGACTGCCTGTCGGACATCCAAGTCCTGGATGAAGGCAAGTTTCCTAGTTGAATGTGAACAAGATTGAGGCTCTCCTGATTGGCTCGCGCCAGCGCCTCAGCACCTCAGGCTCTGGCAACATCAACCTCCATGGTTGCACTCTTCAACTCACCGCCAGTCAGGAACCGAGGTGTCTTGTTCGACCGTCAACTGTCTTTTCTTACCCACATCCAAGCCATGACCTGCTCTGCCTTCCCTCACTTTTGTAACATCGCCCGACTCCGCCACTACTCACCCCTCAGGCCGCTGAAACTCTTGTTCATGCCTTCATCACCTCCAGGCTCGACTATGCAAATGCCCTGCTTGTCGGCCTTCCCAACTCCTCCCTCCACAAGCTGCAGATAATCCAGAACTCTGCAGCCCGTGTCCTCTCCCGCACCAAACTCTGTGAACCCATCTCCCCCATTCTCACCTGACTCCATTGGCTCCCTATCCTTCAGAGGATCCAGTTCAAAATCCTGGTCCACACCTACAAAGCCCTCCATGGCCTCGCCCCACCCTACCCTAACCCCCTACCAACCCACCCGCTCACTCCACTCAGCCGGCCCCAGCCTGCTCCATGTCCCCCGACCCACCCACCCCACCATTGGTGGGAGAGCCTTCAGCCACTCTGCCCCCAACCTCTGGAATTCCATCCCCCAGTCACTCCGCCTCGCCCCCTCCTTAGCCTCCTTCACGTCCCGCCTCAAGACCCTCCTCTTCAACCATGCCATCGGCCACCCCCCTTCCCCTCCCTTCTCCCCCCCGACCCCAGCTCAGGTCTGAAATGCTGTACACTGTCCAGCGCCTTGGGACATCCTCCCGACATGAAGGGCTCTATACAAATGTAGTCTTGCTGTTGTTGTTGTAGTGAAACTGAGCTCCTGTGCCCATGAACAGAGGTCATGAGCAATGGTTCAGTATTTCAACACTGTTCATTCAAGTGAACAGTGTTGATACCCTGAGCATGTAGCTTGCATATTGTCTCTAGTTTGCATTGTATCAGGAATTGTGCGCTATAAAATGATCTGGTTTAGCAAAAGTGCACACAACAGGCAGAATCAGCAAACAGTGAAAGTGCTGGCCTGAGTTAATAATTACAAATGAAAACTGACTTTAGCTGCTTTTAAATGGTTCTCTTTCATGTTGAGTATGTTGTCCCTAAGAGTAACGTAATAACAGCTTTGGCATTGAAATGGCAGGATTATTGATTGAGATACAATGCACACAATAGAACCACTACATCAGCAATAATGATCAAACTGAACACTATCTATCTTCTAGTATGTTGCTGTAGTGAAGTGGATGAAATAACTCATTCCAGCCAACCTTCTATCTTTTACTGTGTGCAGTATCTCCATCTGCAGATTACACCAAGCAAACTCATTAGCATTTTACAATAATCCACCAGAACAAGCAGCTGCAATATTGCAAATTAAATTTATCTCTCCAAACAATGGGATTCTGTATGAGAGACTGAGATACAGGATGATAAACAGACATACATGTTGTAGATGCAGGGAATAGAAAGAACTGCTATATCGATTAGATTATTGCAATGTCCGTTCACCTTGTTATAGGAAAAGTGAATAATGAGGAGCTGTGATTATAAACCTTTATGACCCAGATCTTTTCATTTGGCTTTATTTGCAAAGCTCAGATTTTTCGGGTGAACAGTGTCGACAATAGTGAATGAGATATGGTGGTGTTTGTCCAGGTTTGTCTCAGTTTAACTTACTGTGTGGCTGCATGGCATTTGTCTAGCTACAGTGAGGATAAGAAAACTATTTCTCATATGTGATTATTTTGTCCTGCATTTTATCTCCATTCATTATTGCTAATATATAATAATATGCATCCCAAGTCATTGAATATAGATCAGCAGGAATAGAACATTAAACAAAAGAGGTAACAGCTTCCAGCCCCACAGGTTAGATAACACAACATTAAACGAGCAGTCCTCCCACTGCAGTACCTGTTTAGATTTGAAACATCTATAATAACTTTAGCATATTATATTACATACACATAATCACATATCACTCCCTTACAATAGAGTGCACCTTCTATACTTGTCTGGTGCACAGACAAAGTAATATGATGTCAGAATGTGACTGAACAATGGCCTTCCGTCTTCTTAAGTAAAAATGTATGTAACACAGAAATGTAGAGCTTGTTTCTACATTAATATCTTTCTTAATGCCTTTCTGGAGTTTCGTTGGGTTCACCTGCTTCCTCTCTTATCTCCGTGTAGAATATGAAGGGTCTGGAACAGAGCGGCGCCCAAAACACGCAAAGTGTGGAAAATGCAAATATGGGGCAGAGTGTGATGAAGATGCAGAGGATGTCTGGTAATTATTTTCCCAAACTCCCAACAACCAGTGTCGTACTTACAGCATGAAACAAATGTCAACAATTCTCTTTTGACTCTGAGTGACTAAATTATAATGCAGGTACTTGCTGGTGAGCCTGGTTCTGATTAGCCCTTTGTTGCATCTTGTAATAATATGTCCAGGACAAAGCTTTAGATAACTGTGTGTTAGTTTGAGGAGTGCATAGCAGCGTAGAGCTGTGATTGATGGAAACATACATTATCTCTCTGGGCTGAGCTCCTCATTATAATGAGGAGCTGTATTCACTGCTATTGCACAAAAAGTGGGAACTGAATGGAAATAATATGAAATAAAGGAATGTAAATATATAACCAAACAAATTGAAGGGAGAAAATAGAAAAACAGAAAAAGTAAAAAAAAAGTATTTGATATTAATTTAATATTCATGAAGTCAAAAAACAACAAAATTACATTTGATATAGCTTCTTTCATGTCGGGAGGATGTCCCAAGGTGCTGGACAGTCAGAGTTTTGGACCCGAGCTGGGGGTCGGGATTGGGGAGGGTGGAAGGCAGGGAAGGAAGCAGGGTGATCGAAAGCACGGTTGAAAAAGGGGGTCTTGAAGGAGGCAAAAGAGGGGGCGAGGCGGAGGGGCTGCGGGAGGGAGTTCCAGAGGGTGGGGACAGAGTGGCAGAAGGCCCACCTGCCATTGGTGGGGCAGGCAACGTGAAGCAGGCTGGAGCCCGCTGAGCATAGGGAACGGGCAGCATAGTAGGGCGTTAGGAGTTCACAGAGGTAGGGGGAGCAAGACCATGGAGGACTTTCAAGGTGAGGACCAGGATCTTGAACTGTATCCTCGTTGTGATGGGAAACCAGTAGAATTGGGCGAGGATGGAGGTGATAGGGTCATGGAGCCTGGTGTGGGAGAGGACACAGGCTGCAGATTTCTGGATGATCTGCATCCTATGGAGGGAGGAGTTGGGGAGGCCGACAAGCAAGTAGTTTGCATAATCAAGCCTCGATGTAATGAATGTGTGTATGAACCCAACTGAAATCTATCCTTTAACAAAAACAGAAGTCGCTGGGAACAGTCAGCAGATCAGGCAGAATCTATGGAGAAAAGAAAGTGAATCAACGTTTTGGGTCCATGACCGTCCATGACCACAGAACTGTCGCCAGTGCTGGCGAAGGGTTGTGGACCCGAAACGTTGATTCATTTTCCTTTCTCCATAGATGCTGCCTGACCTGCTGAGTGTTCCCAGCGACTTCTGTTTTTGTTTCAGATTTCCAACATCTGTGGTATTTTGCGTTTTGAAATTTATCCTTTATCGGGGATCCTATGAATTGCAAGCTTGCCTATTACTTTGGGGGTCACCTTTCACCAGCATTTTTAGCTATATTCTGTGCCACACATACTCTCCAAACACTCTTCTAGAAATGTTCTTTTCTAAGCTTCATGTCAATTTAGTTGAATAGAAAAAATTGCCTGTTTAAAGGGCCCATTAGTGCAGGGTCAAGTTCCTTCCTGCAAAATACTTCAAAGTTATTCTGCAGTGGTAGTTTTCAAAATCATGCTTGCATTCAACATACATCCCACTTTGTGGAGGTCATACCCCACAGAGGCCAGAGAGTTGTATATTTTAGCACAGTATTTGCAGTGTGACCATGCTCTGCTGATGTCGGGCAAAGGTGTTCTATGGAGCACGTCTGCTAAACAGTGCTGGGTTCTGTAGCAATTATCAGTGTTAAAGCAGGTGAGAATCTATTTTATTTTATTTAGCATGTCCCTGCTGAGTTCCATAATACAATGAGGAATAAAACATGAATATTAATTTTACTTTGAGGAACTAAGAATTGCTGCACCATAATCCATTCACTTGCACTTGTGTTGACACATGTATAAAATAATTTGAACCCGATATTGTCATTTCATATTTACTGTATCTATAATATTACTTGGCAATAACTAGACTTTGGGACATACAATATTTTGACATATTGGAAATGTATCTCTGCAGTATTTCAGATGAATCTTTTCAGCAGTATATTCATCTCATTACCCTTGCATTTATTTTCTGCAAGTCAATCAAAGCCTTCTCTAACAAGCTCAGTGTCAGTTTGCCAGCTGCCTTCGGTGAATACACAATGTTTAGAACAGCCCTATTTGATTTCAGTAGGGATAGCGCCCTAGCAACATCTCTCACACGACATGTGGTTTGCCGGGCCGTGAAGAAGCTGACTTGATGACATGCCTGCCAATTTGCTCCAGCCTGCTGGTTATAAAAGATTTTCTATGGAAACTTTGGAATATCATTTAAATTTTAGAATAGTAAAGATTTGGATTTTTTTTAGCACCTAATCAAATTGAAGTGCATCGCGGGTAATTAATGGTAAATGCTGTAGCTTTTCTTTGTAGGCAGATACAATAGCCATTTTGCACAAGGCAAAGTCAAGAAGTGAATGATCAAGTTATCTCACAAGATCACAAGATTTGTCTGGGTGAAGAAGGCCCTTCAGTCCATCTGATCTTATCCCCCAGAACACCGACCCCACCATTCCCTGCATCAAGCAACTTCTTAAATGAGTCTGGTGCTCTGGCCCCTACCACCTTTCCTGGCAATCTGTTCCAGTTGTTGATTAGCCTCTACACAAAAAAAAACTCCCTGGTGTCTGTTCTGAAATCACCCTGTACAACTCCAAACCTATATCTTCTTGTTCTACTGTCTTGGTACATTCTAAAGTAATGATTTGGGTTTACTTTTTGAATCCCATGTAAAATTTTATACATCTCTATGAAGTTGCTTCTGAGTCATTTTCTTTCAAGACTGAAGAGCTCGAGCTTGTCTAGTCATTGTTCATAGCTAATTCCTCTTAAGACTGAGCATCATCCTCGTTGCTCTCCTCTGTACCGCCTCTAGGGCCTGAATAACCCCCTTATGTCGCAATGATGAGAACTGTATGCAGTTGGAGGATTGTCTTTTTGATTAGTGTCATACAATCTTTAGCATTCACCTGAATATGTGTAACCACTGTTTGAAATCTCATCCAAAGGGCAAAGCCTCTGACAGTATAGCTCTCAGTCTGTCAAGCGTGGACGATAATGCTAAACACGGAGTTTGAACACACAGTCTTCTTCCCAGAGGCAAGAGTACTACCAACTGAACCAAAATTAGAATAAAAGAATCCCATTATCCAGTATTTGGGATCCATGTAATTCCCGGTCAGTGCCTCTGCATTCACAAAGCAGCACATAAGAAGTGACGTCAATAGTGATCTGATGACCCATGTTATAATGGGGCTTTACTGCATTTGACAATAGATCAAAACTAGAATTAAACTTGTCTAGATCACCAATGAGATCTCGGATGAAAGTCTCAGAGTGGAATTGTTTTCTTTGGAGAACAGAGGTCAGAAGGTTGAAACGAATTACATTGAACATTACAATACGGAAACAGGCTTTTGGTACAACTAGCTTATAAACTGCATGAGCCTGCACCCCTTCTAATCCCCTCTTATTCCCTTCGGCCTTATGTATGCATCAAGTTTAAATACGTTGATGCTTTTTGCTTCAACCAGTTTCCGACAGTGAGTTGTACATTCTCTGCATAAAGAAGTTCCTTCAGAACTTCCTTTTTGATCTGCTGCTGGCTATTGTATATTTATGCCCCTTCACATTAGGACTCATCACCAAGTAGTAACAACCAATTAATGTTCACATTACTGAATCTTTTCATAATTATAATCACCTCTACCAGGTTGTCTCACCTCCAGAGAGAGAAGCTCCAACCTGTACGATCTTTCTTGATTGTTGTATCCACTGAGCCCTGGTAACATCTTGTAAATTTATACTGCCTCACAAGGAATCATGATCTTGATTATTAAAATACTGAGAGGAAAAAGTAATTTTCCAATCCACATAAGAAAAATACATAGCCAAGATCTCTATACTTAAGAAATGGAGGAGAATATCATGTTCTCACACAATAAAAGTGAATTTATCGACAGCTAGAGAATCATCCCCGAGACTTTTTAAGAAAAAAGGCATTAGGGTAAGCAAGCCTGTTTCATTGTAATTCTAAACCCCATCTGTCTATCTTTATTGCAGTCCCTTCTCCATTAGCACAATGAACAGGTTTATTACCTGTTGTGTGTTCTGTCTGCCTTTGCTTCCTACTCCTTATTTTTGTCCCTTTGTATTTGAACCAAATTAATTTTAGCAATGCTCATCATGTTCTTAAAACTTTAAGTGGGGTCTCCTTAGAACTGAACTGGCTCCAAGGTGACATGCCTGGCAATGGAATGTTGGAATCGAACCAGCCCTCTGTGGCGGTCTCGGTAGCCCAGTTACTGAACCAGGCGAGGCCACAGTACTACGGGGCACCGCTGATGACAACACAGCCAGCCTGGCTTATTGGCAGGACCTGGAAGGGCAGATCAATCACTGGGGGCAAGAAGTCATCCCACTCAGCTCCTGTTAACCCTGCAAGCCAAAGCCCGAACAGGTAGGGTGGTCCTAGCTGGACAAGCAGCAGGAAAGCTTGCCAGACAGCAATATTAATGGCAAACTATGTGGTTTTAGCTGGTTAGACTTCAGCAGTACCCCAAAGCACACTCTAGGGTCCCAAGGCCTTGGCTCTTGCCAATCTGCACCTAATACTTTCCGGAATTAAGTAAGCAGGATGCATCCCTCCATTTCATTCCAACAATCTATCTCTGGGATTTACATGTGTAGGTAGGATGCATGGACATCTCAACTTGGTTTGGATACTCTTAAGCATGGTGATGGGTTTCCACATGTGTCAGACACCCAGTTAACCAAAAAAAAAATTTTTTAAAACTTATTTTACATTCTTTGGAAGTGTTCTCTTGTCAAAATATCACTGTTCCATTTTCTGGTATTAGGTAAGCATGCGGCTCCCACTGGGATAGAGTGCACACACCAGTCCCAGACATAGGGAAATTTCCATGTGTAGGTGGCATATATATGTACAATCTCAGCTGGTGTAGATAATCATAAACATAGTGATAGGTTTCCCCACGTGTCAGACACCCGGCTGAAAAAAAACCCTGCAACTACACAAGAGAGCCAGTTTGTTTCCAAAGAGCAAATTAATCTAGTGCAAATCTCATTAAGTAGACTTTTGTTTTCAGTTGTTTAACAACATCGGGTATTTAACAAATATAAGTAAACCCTTCCATTTTCAAGTTAGTTTTATTTAGGACCTAATGATGTTTGGGCTGATTTCTGCACTATAATAAAAACCATGGGGATTGTCAAATGGAGCTCAGTCATTCATTGTAACCGATATTAGATGTTTAAATTAAAACAGTTTTCTCTATTTTGTTCTTTTCTTCCATTTCCTTAGGAATTAATATGGTTATATTTCTTCAAATTAATTTAGCCAAAGAATGTAAATCTTAGAAATCAAATTGTCTATTACTAATGTTACTTTTGAGACTCTGACAAACCATCTAAAATGTATTTAAGAGTTTGCTTTGTGAGCACTGTAAGAGGCAAAGGATATTTTCAGTCTTCCTGAAGTGAAAGGCACTATATAAATGAATAATACAGTATATATAAAAGTAATATATACAGTATATATAAAACTCCACCTAAACTCCCCTTGCACTACTTCTGCCAACTTCATTGCCCTCCTCTCCTCCCTAAACCTCACCCTTCATATAAATTCACCCACTCACAACAGTGATCATGCACTTGACCTCATTATCACCCACAGCCTTGATATTTCCGACCTTAGCATAGTGGACAAGGCAATCTCGGACCACTTCCTCATCTCCTTCCCTCACATCCCTCTCTCCTCCACCAAGCCTTCAACCATCCTCTACCGCCCTTGGAACAGGCTACTCCCCGAGACCCTCACAAAGGCCCTCGCATCATCAAACATCCTATCCCTCTGGCCTTCCACCTGCGGAGATCCTAAAGCAGCCGTCCAGCTGCTCCAAGATCACCTCTCCTCCACCTTCGACTCCCTCGTCCCCCTGAAATCCAGGACCATCTCCAAACCCAACCAATCCCCCTGGTACAACAACCATCTCTGCCACCTAAAAAACGAAACCCTGCTGCTCGAGCGCAGATGATGGAAAACTGGCCTGACCGTTCACCGCCAACTGTGGCTCGAGCATCTCCACAGCTACCGCCATTCTTTGACATACGCAAATACGGCCTTCTACTCCAACACCATCTTGGAGGCTAAACACAATCCTAAAATCCTTTATTCCACCACCCACTACCTCCTCCGTGACCCCCCTCAGGCCTCCTCAATCTTCATATCAGATGCCAAGTGCGAGGAGGTCATGGACTTCTTTTCATCTAAAACTCACAACATCCGCCAGGCAGCCTCATCCACCTGCCTCTTGTCACCCGCCACAATGCCCTCTCTGTCCCCCTCACCCTCCCATCAGCTGCTCCTACCACCACCCCCATCCTACATTCCTTCCTCCCCATCTCTCCCTCCTCCCTCTCACCCACCATCACCTCCATGAAACCCACCACCTGCTGCCTCGACCCCCTCCCCACCAACTTACTGGTCACTCAGCTCCCTCTGTGCCCACTACTGGCTGACATCATCAACCAGTCCCTCTCCTCCAGATCAGTCCCTGCCCCCCTCAAAACTGCTGTCATCACCCCCCTTCTGAAAAAACCCTCCCTTGATCCCTCAAACCCCAGCCGCTACTGCCCCATTTCTAACCTGCCCTTCCTCGCAAAAGTCCTAGAACGCGTTATTACCAATCAACTCCGCGCAGACCTCTCCTCCCACTCCCTCTTCGAACCGCTCCAGTCTGGTCTCCGCCCTCCCCATAGTACAGAGACTGCACTTGTGAAAGTCACAAACAACATCCTCTCTATCTGTGACCAGGGCTCCCTCTGCCTCCTTGTCCTCCTGGACCTTTCCGCGGCGTTCGACACAGTCGATCACGCCATCCTCCTCCACCGCCTTTCTTCTGTCATCCACCTCAGTGGGACCGTACTCGCCTGGTTTGAGTCCTACCTCACAAACTGCCAGCAGTACATTTGCACAAACGGCTTCTTCTCCCGTTCTCACCCGGTTACCTGTGGGGTTCCCCAAGGATCCATCCTTGGCCCCCTCCTCTTTCTGATCTACATGCTCCCTCTGGGGGATGTCATCCACAGACACATACATTTCCACATATAAGCAGACGACATCTAACTCTATTTTTCCACCTCTCTTTGCGACCCCCAGTCCCCTGATGTTCTGTCAGCCTGCCTGTCAGATCTCAGGGGCTGGATGAGCGCAAATTTCCTTCAGCTGAACGTTGACAAGACGGAAGCCATACACTTTGGCTCTCGTCAACGTCTAAAATCTCATGGCTCTCACCTTCTCCACCTACCCGACCTCCCCCTAAAACTCTCCGAACCCGTATGCAACCTAGGCGTCAGGTTCGACCCTCAATTATCCTTCCTCTCCCACATCCGGTCCCTCACCAGCACCGCTTTCTTCCAACTCCGACGCATCGCCCGTCTCCGCCAATACCTCTCTCCAAAAGCCACTGAAACCCTGGTCCATGCCTTTGTCACCTCTCAGCTGGACTATTCAAATGCCCTCCTCGCCGATCTCCCATCCACTACCATCCACAAAATCTTGATCATTCAAAACTCTGCCGCCCGCATTCTCACCCACACCAAACTCCGCTCCTCGATCACCCCAATTCTTGCCAGACTGCACTGGCTGCCTATCCCAGAGAAGATCGATTTCAAGATCCTCACCCTTGTATTCAAATCCCTCCACTCCTCTGCACCCCCCTACCTCTCTGACCTCCTCTCTCCTCAAAACAGTACCCGCTGCCTTTGTTCCTCTGGGTCTGGCCTCCTCCTTGTCCCCCAAGTCCTCCGCTCCACCCTCGGCGGCCGTGTCTTCAGCCACTATGCCCCGAGGCTCTGGAATTCCCTTCCTCACTCCCTTCGCCTCGTACCCTCTCTTCCTGTTTTCAGGTCTCTGCTGAAGACCTTTCTTTTCGACCGCGCCTTTGGTCACCTTCCTCCCCCTCCCCCTGGCTCGGCCCCTGGATCCGTTACTGTGAAGTGCTCTGAGACTCCATCTAGTGTGGAGGGCACTATATAAATCCAAGTTGTTGTTGTTGTAAATTGTATTGTTTTAATATGTGAAATAAACTCTCATCCACTTATGTTTTTTCTGGTAGAGATTGTGCAGAAATATAACCTGAATATTGTAGAACACAATGAAAAGTACGGTCACTTGGATGTTTTACACAATACTCCAGTGCTTCTAGTGGGCTTATGTTAAATATAGTACCATGAACCGGTAAAACACATCAGTGACAATATTTACACTAACACAGAAATTAAGGGAAGCTTGACATTGAGTTTCTCTTAACTTAAATATGCTTGAATCGTAGCTTATCTCTAATTGAGCTACACATAATTCCCACTGGAATAGGGATTATGGGGATCACAGATGTGGCTCTGCAACACTCTTTGAATCTCAGCTGCCAATGAAGCAATCTAAGGGGCCCATTTTAGCTTCATATAAAAAACATGGAGGACAGGACACTTTGGAAGGGATTCAAAATGTAGGGATACAAAGCTGGCTCGCTCGCAATCTCTCTTGCCTGGGGATAAGAAGAGCTGTGTGCATGCACGAGTGAATGGATGCACAGAAGTCTGCCATGCAAGAGTGAACATCAGTCAGATTTTAAGATTATCAAAGAGTCTGGAGCGCGACAAGCTCTTCGATAATGTTAAACAACCAACACTCAATTCCAGACACTTTCAACCATTCTGTTACCGCTCACTGGAAATCCGTCCCTCTAACTCCCTCCCTCTCTTCATTCAAGGCATGTCTCAAAATATATCTGTCTGACTGCACTTTTGGTCATCTTTCCCCTCGGTCCCCACCCACACCTTAGGTGCTCACCCAGCATTGTCAAGCGTTTTAAGATGGCTCCTAACATGAATGGTGCAAAATAAACATAAATTGCATTGTACTTTTTACACAGCATCCCAATACGATATAATTTAACAGTGCAGGAGCAGGAAGTGGTAAACAAGCTAGAACAGACTTCATATCCCTAAACTCCTGAAAGTAAGATTATTTCACTTCCTGCTGAGCATGATAAATACAGCAATAGGCTTTTTTCAGTGTTCTGTCATATCACATCCTGAAATGTTATATTTAAGAGTGGTTGACAGTCTTGCACGTAAGTGAAAGAAGATGTGCACTCAGTCACTGATGAGACATTGTGTGTAGTTTAAGCATGCACAGCTTCTAGTAGCCCCTTAAGTGTATATGAATTATAGAATACCGTGTTGCTGTCTCTGAATTATTTTTGATTTTTACGTATGTAATATTCACTCCATGAACAGTAGCATTAATATCAATTGTGTCTATTAAATAAAAGCTGTAACGGCATACAGTGCAGCTAATGAATTTCAGAGCTTGGCAGTCTTGATTTTGTTGTTCTGAGGGAACTGTTAGAAGACAGTTTAACCAGTCTCTATGGATGAAAGGTTTCATTCTGTGGAGTAATTTACATAATGTAACTGGTAACGTGTATAATTAACTCACAGGTTTATTGTTTCCATTTTATCAGGTGCGTGTGTAATATAGACTGCATCAGATTCAACTACAATCCTGTGTGTGCGTCGAATGGAAAGTCCTATGACAGTCCTTGCTTGGTCAAAGAAGCATCTTGTCAGAGACAGGAGCGGATTGAAGTAAAACATCTTGGCAAATGCCTAGGTAAACATTTTTATAAATTTGAGACTATGTCCAAATTATTTTAAGAGAATTGCCAGTTTTCTGGGAATGCTTATGTCAGGAAAATACTGGAGAACCTTCAACACTTTGTCCATCAGCAAAGATTTGAAATGATACAGTAACAGCCATTGTTGCTTATCATTTAGCTTAGCTCTAATGTTGTTGGTGATGTTTTGACCTAATTTGCATCCCCATTTACCACATGTAGCCATGTGGTTTAGCTCCATATTATTGTGTATTTCCGCCATCCCAGAGCTATTGTAATTTTCAAATTACTATGTTTTCCATTCATAATTATGCTGTTCAAAATGAAAACATGCCTCCCCTTTAATGGAACTTGTCAGCAGGTTTGTTCCCAGTTGAATTATCCATTAATATATGAAGCATGTCTCCAGGCAACTGAACATACCATTATGTGAGACTAACCCGTGCAGAGGGAGAGCATGGGGGCGAATTATTGCAGAAAGGTTCAATCCAGCATTGACCTTACAAAGATCATTTTCAATAGCTGTTTATTGGTTTCAATTAAAACATCCTAAAAACAGTATTCACACATCTTTCTCTTTTGTCCATGAAATATTGAAAGCTGTTTATAAGATTAAAACAATTGCTTCAAAACCACAATGTCACAATTGGTATTTTCTTTACATAGGAATATAAGAACATGAGAAATGCTAGACGAGAAAAGACCAAGGTCCATCTAGTTTGCCTTCCAACTTCCTGGCGGTCTCATGCACACATGTCCCAAACTACTTAAGTACTATACCCCATAATGTTACTTCCCAAAAGAAAACAATCTAATCTGTGTTTGAAAGAATCAGCACTTCCTGCTTCAACCATCTCCATAGGGAGCCTGTTCCACCGTTTCACTATTCGCTCACTGAAATAGTATTTGCGTAGATTCGTTCTGAATTTACCCCTTTCATTCGCAGGCTGTGACCTCTGATTTTACTATTCTCGACAAGTTGAAACAGCCCATCATGATCTATATTGTGTTGCCCCTCTAGAATTTTAAAGTCAGCAATCATGTCGCCTCTCAATCTTCTCTTTTCCAGCATGAACATGCCCATTTACTTAGTCGCTCCTCATAGTTCAGTCCCTCCATTCCCTCAATCATTTTGGTTACCCTCCTCTGTATCTTCTCGATTTCTCCAATATCCTTTTTGTACTGCGGCGACTAGAACTGTACACAGTATTTTAAGACGCCGTCCAGTGTGGAGGACGCTATATAAATCCCAAGTTGTTGTTGTTGTTGTAAGTATTGTCTCACCAATGATTTATACAGTGGCAGGATTACCTCACTATTTCGGCTTGCTATTGATCTTTTGATACACTACAACATCTGGTTTGCTTTACTCGCTGCACAGAGTATTGTTGGGAGAGTTTCAATTTATTGTCAATTCCCAAGTATGTTCAAAACCTCCTGTAACCTATCTTGTTCAGCTTCGCAATCTACCACCTTCATTAGCTTGGTGTCATCTGCAAACTTAGTCACTATGCTTACGATTCCTAGTTCAAGATCATTTATAAAAATATTAAACAAAAGAGGTGCCAAAACAGACCCTTGTGTAACTCCACTGGTAACATTTTCCCATTCTGATGACACTCCCTGCACTACCACCTTCTGGGTTCTTCAGGTCAACCAATTGCCTATCCATTGTAATATACCTCCACTGATTCCCGGTTTCTTTACTTTCAGTGCCAGCCTCTCGAGGAATTATACAAAGGCCTTATTGAAATCCAGATATATAACATCCACAGCCTTACCTTTTCCTCTTCAACCATGCTTACAGCCACCTCCCCTCTTGCCCCAGCTCAGTCAGACTCTGTTAAGTGTCAGTCAGAGCACTGTTAAGTGCTCTGAGACGCCATCCTGCGTGGAGGGCGCTATATAAATCCAAGTTGTTGTTGTTGTTCCCGTTATCAAGCTCCCTTGACACACTTTCAAAGAAAAACAGTAAATTAGATTGGCAAGACGTCTCCTTCATGAACTCATATTAGCTATCATTTATGATTTTATTTCTGTCTGGATGCTCCATGATTTTATCCTTAATAAGAGTCTCCATAATTTTACCCACAATGGACGTCAAAATTACTGGGCTGTGGTTTCCTGGGTCACTTTTGTTACCTTTCTTAAAAATAGGAGTACCATCTGCCTTTCTCCGATCCCCCGGCACCTCTCCAGTATTCAGTGATTTTTGAAAGATTTGTGCCAGCGTTTCTGCGACTTCCTCTCTTAGTTACTTAAGGATCCTCAAATACATTGGCAAAAAAAAGTCAGTAAGAGTGGGGGGAATTTTCTGTTTGTGAAAAGTCTAGTGAGTGCCCCTGGTTAGCAACAGACATATAATTGGAAGACTTTCTGTGCTTTACATTTTGAAATTGTAATTGTCCATTTTTCATTACCAGTGTTTGAAAGTGGTTTTCAAATCCCTTGCTGAAGGAACAATTAAGGTAGTTATCTGCAGTTGGAAGCTAATTAAAGCCCAGAAGGGCCAATTTAATGCTGGACTAAAGCCATGGTGCTGTTTGAACATGCTCTGGGTGTGTGGTAAGTCTACAAAACAACCTGCAGAGTGATGAGATTATCTCTGGTTCTGACTCATTACTTCAAAGTCTGCTTTCAGTCCCCTTAGTATTGTTTATTTTATTGGTTGAAGAGAGGGACAAACAGGAAGGCTGTACAGGCAGAGGTTTCTCTGGAGAAGAAGATCTGGAGGGTCAGACTCCTATCAGTTGTGTAAAGAGGAGCAGCGTCAGTGGAGGCTGAGGTTTTCCTGTGAGGCGGAATAGATCTAAGTCATTGAGTCGCAGTTCTCATTCATCCAGACTAACTACTGGTGGCAGTGAAGGTTACAGTACTTTTATCATTTTAACAACAATTCCAGTTCCCTCTTGGGGATCTTTTTGACATCACCCCATGCTATTCAACAGCTGACAAACACACTGCTGAGGTGGGTCAGAAGGATGGTGTGTTTGCTCAGCAATCTGGACAAAGCGGTGGAGAGGCAAGTCAATCCTTCCTTATCACAGGAATCATGATAATGTTGTGAACTGTACTGGTGATGCATTGTCTCATTAGACAATGAGATTAACTACCTGAATTAGAAGGGAGGAGGATGGGGGGGTGGCATTATCTAGACATGAAATTCTTGTGTAATGCCAGCCAGAAAATCCTGTGCTATATCACCTGGTATCCTGTTCGAGTACTTGATTTCCTGCTACATTAAAAAAAACTTCCTGGTATCAGGTTGCAGGTGACACCACTTGCTTTGTGCAGAAATATTGCTGCTGCTACTTTCAGAGCACAGCAAATGTATTTTACACACTGCGGGAGCACCATTGATGTTGCTTTGTGAAGGAAGTTACATCGGTGCCCCTTTTGCTTAGAATACGCATAACATGCAGAAAGTAATGTCAGAAGTTGGTCATTTTATCAGGCCCTGCCTGTAATGCGCTTCTGAGACATTGGACCCAATTGACCAGCTGACCCAGTTTCTCTGAATTAATTATTTTTGTGTACAGTAAATAAGAGCAGCCCTGGACACCACTCAGTACATCTTGCTAGCCTGAAAAACTTTATTTTTCCTCTGCTTTTCTTCTTGCCCTCCAACCATTTCTCCACATTTACTCTTTAATTGATCTTCCACAATCTTTGCCATGAGTCTCTTACATGACACTTCACCTGCATTCATTCCTCTGTCAGAGGGAAGAGCTGTTCCCAATCTACCATGCCAAGTCTCTTTATTCACCTTGATCAAATGATCTTTAATTAAAGGACTCATATCTAGTGAATATCACTTGACATTACATTGCCCATCCCTTTATCGTAGCTGCATCCCTTCATCATTCTGATGAATTGTTACAGTTGGTCTGTGGTTCTATATAACAGTGACTCTTCATATCCTAATAAATCCTCTTGCTCTGGTCTCTCCTTGGCACATCGAATTTCCTCCATTGCAGGTCAGCTTTACTTTGCAGACTTTGCCGTACTTATTAACATTGTGGAATGTTTTCCTCTTTGTCTGCCTAGTAGTTGGCACAGCATTAACCAGGAAAGGAATCTCCTCCCAAATCTTTGTCCCAATTGCAGGATGTGATAGGTATAAGCTATTCCTTATATACAATATTTACTGGACAATGTGCCAGGCTTCAGCATCAGTGAATTCAGATTTTCATGTGCTATATTGCAAAAAGGTGAATGTTACACTTGCAACGTTACAGTACCTCACCATTAATGGAGACACATTGATCAACAAAAGTCTTTAAAGGGCATCAAGGAATTCTTGTGGAGTACATGTTGCAGCCAGCTGAAGTGAAACAGATGAATAAGAACTGACAGCACCATGCACAGCTGTGTCTCGTGGGCATTGTTTCTGTTTTCCAATCTTATGGTCAACTGCCCAGGTACACCTTGAGTATCCATGTATGGAAGATTTGACTGGAAGGAGTCCTTACGTGAAAATAGATGGTTGATATTGCTAAGTGACGTATTGCAGATGAAAGATAACCACTTTACAATGGCTAGAAAGTTCTTTGTGTGTACTCTGGGAGCTAGGTGCTGGTGTACAGCCATTACAAGTGGGAGAGTGTTGAAAGCAAAACGACTGCCCAATAGAAAATACACCAGTGCCACTTAGAGCTAAAAGCTATATATGTGGAATGGAAAATCAATCAGAGGAGTAAACTAAACCTATAGCCAGACAAAGTGAAATGAGCAAAGGCAGATGGAAGCATGTCATAATATTTTTGAAGACTTGTTTTGCTTTGTTTCAGGTGGGCCACAAATGAGACTTATAACACTGTATTATATTTGATCACCTTTGTTTTAAAGATGACGCCAGCTCACTGGGGAAGAAAGATGATGGATTTCAGTTTGGGCCAGAAGTTAAAGGTATGGAGAAAAGCAACCTACAATTCACTGAAAATATTCAACAACAACAACTTGCATTTATATAGCGCCCTTCATGTAGGATAATGAGTCAGAGTGCTGTACATTGATGGGGTTGGACACTGAGGGGGGAGGGAGAGATGAACTATCAGCACAGTCAAAAAGATGTTTTTCAGATTTAAAGATAGCGAAAGAATGGGTGAAGTGCAGGGATTGAGGCAGAGAATTCCAGAACTTAGGTCCTAGTGGCTGAAGGTACAGCTACCGATGGTAGAGAGGGGTTGGGTGGGGGGATGCACAGCAAAGTAGGCACAAGTGGAAGGAGTGGGGCACAAGCAAAATTCACTCCATTTTGAGGAACTGTTATTCTTAAAATTATAGGTAATTGCGGTATTTCACAAAGAATATCATGAATACTGTTCATAAGCAAGGTATTCATTGCTATAGCCACGTGTAATGCAGGGCTTAGACATTGAATCATTTGCAGATTAAACATTTTTCTTAGATAAACCTTCAATTATGTTTGAACAAAAATTCTCCACTCTACTCCACCTGCTCATGTTCATACTTTTATCCTAGCTCATCTACAAATACACAGTCACTTTACAGTGAAGGTCCTGTGAAGCGCTTTGAAATTTTAAATTTATCACATGTATGCAAAGACCAAACACCTAATTTAGGCAATTTAATGAAACGACAACTGGCATTTATATAGCGCTCTTCATGTAGGGTCACATCTCAGAGCACTTTATAAGATTATGCTGGAAACCTGAAAGTAGCAAAACTTAAATACTATTAGTGACTAATTTTTTTTAAACGTTTCTCAGTTGCTTAGTGTGATATCAAGTGCCTTTGTAAGCTTGCTCGCAAAGAATGAGTTCCTTCATCATATTCGTTCTGCAAATGCTGCTTAAATGTCATGATGGTAATTTGGAAATATTCAACCTGTGTCAGGCATGTAAAACAAGTGATGTGAATGCATCTAATGCTGACAATTCTTAATTTTCTTTTAAGATGCCAGTGATCAAAGGGAAGATGATTACACTGGGAACTACCAGCTGTGCTCAGAAAATATCTGCATACATGGCAAATGTGAATATATTTATGCTCGTCGAGAGACATCCTGCCTGTAAGTACCTTAGCCTTTCTTCACACCTTGTTATCAATTTACAAATACCACCTACAATCGATACACAGTATTAAACGGTACACTGTGTATAAATGCTCCCACCAATATAACAATGTGTAATTGAAATCTCAATTTATAGCTCCTGCTTTACATTGCAAAACAAAGTTTGATTTCAGATTGTAGCAGGCGCACAATCTTCTCTTTAATAGTACGTAAGACAGGTTCTGCTAAAAGACCTTGGCTCGTGGTTAGGGGAGCGAAGTCAATGTGGTTCTCCTCTGCAGCTGTTGTGGATCACAGCTGCTGAAAGCACCGCCTCCTGTCAGTACTGAAAGGAGCGGGGCTTCAGCATGATTCATGTTGGCTCAAACCAGATTTACACTGCACATTTGGTGGTGAAATAGCCACCAAAATTGCAGCAATTCCCCACCAACTGTGCAGTGTAAATGCTGCAATAAAAGAGAGGGGTCTTGCATTGCTAGTTAAGGATGGCATCTGTCACAGTCATTGATACAAATTGTCCTTCAAGAAAAAACAGTGCAATTCTAGTGGATGTTTGGGTTGAGATTAATATTGCTGCAAATATATATAGTTACATCTCATTACAATCCCTGCAAGAAAAGTAAGATTGAACCTATTGTGGTGACATGTGTGGACAGCAACAGTCAGCAATGTTAAGCTCTTACAAATATTAAAACATGATTATCCTATTAGACAAAAATGTTTAGCATAATACTAATCCATTAACTCTCCAATGCTTTCCTGCATCCGCTCATTGCCTCAGGGAAGGAGGTGATTAAAAACAAGAGATTTAAAACATTGTTTTAACAGATACAGCAGAGATTTTTTTGTTGGATTTCTAGATGAAGCCCAAATTCTATAGCAGTGATGGGCCAAGCTTTGTGGTTGGCTGGCAAAATAATCATAGAAAAAAACAAATAGCGTAGATTTATGCCATAAATCAAGAAATATTTGATCAAGGTGCTTTTATTTTATTGATCAATCAAAAAGTTTGGCCACCACTGATTTAGTCCAACATCCTGTTTCCCTTCTTTGTTGCTGCCTTACACTGTTTTGACACGGTGAGCAATGAGTCAACTAACACCTCTGGCTTCCAAGCTTTCCCTTTGGTGAATTAATTTCATCCATGAAATGCCCTGCTCTATAGTATATGTAAGACATCAAGGTTAAGAGAAGGAGAAAAGATGGGATAAATTGAGAAATAGTGGTTAGATGAAACCCATGCTTGAATTTAATGATTACAGTAAGACTCACATAAGTCATATTAGTTGGGACCTTAACATTTAGTTTACACAAAGTCTGAGCTGTAGGCAGATTGTATAAGTCTTAGAAAATACGATTTAATCAATAATCTACACTGCGCATGTGTAATTTAATGCAGTGCACATTTGCTAGTTTGTCACTGTATCCGGTAAGTGCGCATGTGGTGACGGATCAATGCATCTTGACACGTCACCGCATGTGCACTTACCGGCAAGCATTGGAATCGCATTGAATCGCGGGAAATGGAGTTCTTCAGCGCATGCGTTGACAGATCAAGACTATATTTCCTGCAATTCAATTCAGCCGGTAAGTGTGGGAGTAATGGAAGGTAGGGGAGCGGCATTACGAGTTGAGAGGTAATACAAGTAGTGTAAAGAATTCTAAGTGGTTTTGATTAGAAACTGAATGGGACTCAGGTGAATGTACGACTTAGGCGATTTATAAAGCTAAGACTTATGTAAGTCTTGCTGAATCAATTAATTATTACTGTTAGTAGTCCAGATTATGTTGGCTTTAAATTTTAGCACAACCCAGCCAGCAAACATTTGCTGCCACGGTGCACTAAATAAGGAGTGTGTCTCTGATGGGCAGTCTTTTTGGTCCTGGAATAAGTTGGATATAATCCTGACTTTGAACATTCACAGCTAAAACGATTGGCGTTCACGTTGCTGCACTCCTATAAATCACCTCCTATTGTCTGGCTCCAAATTTCCCCCATGGGGATGAGCACAAGAGGCGAAGTCCTGATACAATAGAATATCATAATAGGAACTCTGGTAGAAGGGATGGGGGCAACTACTTCCAAGCCTAGCAATAGCTTGAAAAAGATAAAGTAAAGTCTGAGCCTTGTATTAAATGCTGCATTAAACCAGGAAAACTCAAATGGGAAAGGGAGTGACATAGGGTAGCTGCATAGTTTAGAACCATGTTATACAAATGGAAGTGTTGGTTGCTCAAGCATAAAGCTGTTTTTTATTTGGCATTAGTCATTTACCATATGTAAATACACAGATTATTTTTTAAACGTTCTCTAAAGACCTAGGATTATAAGCATTTTTGAGAATTGATATGAATTATCAGTTTATAATTCCTACCCCCATCTCTAGGAAGCACTCTGGGATGTTATCCTATGTTGTTGCTGTATAAAGCAATGTTTCTAAATGAAGAAAAGCAGGAAAGCAAGATTTAGTGGAATTGCTCATTGGAGCATCAGATACAAGTGACTGAATAAAATCTATCAGAAAAGATCAGAACTCAGCAAACTTCATCAGTGCTGAAACTTTTATCCCACATGAATTGCATTTTTTTTTGGTTTAAGTCGTTCTCTTTTCCTTTTTATTCTGTTTGACACTTTCATTTTGGGGTCAGTTCCAAGCTCCTGTACTGGTTTTGATCTGCAAAGATTTGCACGACTTTCCCTGTAGACTTTAGCTTTTAAGATAAATTATTCAAAGGAAATTTAAAATTGCATTTTTTTAAAATATGCATATGGTTTGTAGAATATCAATGGAAATATTCCAAGAATTTTGATCTGTTGCCATTAAATCCCATAGAAAGCTATGCTTGATGTTGATTCATTCTCTTGTGAAGACTCTTCCATTGAGTCAAACACTGAAATGTGTTTTTCTGCAGTTCTGTACTTAAAATTTAAAAAAATTGTATTCACTTGGAAAGCTTAGACTTTGTATATCACAATGTGTCCCCTACATCCTGCAGTTTTCTAAAATCTGTATAATTTGTAAAATATAACAATAATAGCATTAAAAGGAACATAAGAACAGGAAGAGGCCAGTCGACCCATCAAGCCTGTTCTACTGTGTTCCAAGATTGTGGCCAATCAGCAACTCAATTCTATCTCCCCGCCCTCTCTTCATATCCCTAAATACCTCTGTCTATCAAGTATTTATCTTCGTGCCTTTTAAATTTTTCAATTGACTCTGCCTACACTTTCCTCTGGGGGAGTGAATTCCACACTCCCATCACCTACTGTGTGACAAAATGTTTTTTTATTTCATTTCTAAAGGTTTGTTTAGCCTCAAGTTAAAACTGTGGCCTCTAGTTCTCAATTCTCTCATCAGAGGAAACCGTTGCTTGCTATTCAGCTTCTCAAATCTTTTCATAATTTTATATACCTTGATCAGATCACCCCTCAACCTCCTGATCTCGGGAGAATACAATCCATGTTTTTCTATCCTTTCATCATAATTCAGGTCTGTGACATCAGGAATCATTCTAGTAAATCAATGCCTGACACTCTCTAAAACCAATATATCCTTCCTAAGGTTTGGTGTCCAAAACTGCACACAATACTCCAAATGGCATCTGACCAGTATTTTATACAATTGTAGTATCACTTCTTGATTCTTGTATTCTAACCTCTTGGGATAAATGTCAACATTACATTAGCATTTTTGATTACCTTCTGCACTTGTGCAATACATTTTAAAGATTTATGAAACTGAACACCTTGATCCCTTTGTTCATTAACCTCATGAATGCATGAATAAGAGTTTCAGCTGTGTTAGGTGTGAGGTACAGTCAAAGGTGGATGATATGTTGGTGGTAAAGGAAAGCGGTCCTAGACAGGGACCAGATGTGGGTTAGAATGACAGCTAGGCATTGAACCTGATACCTAGGTTGTGCACAGTTTCAGTGAGTCTGACAGATAGGCTGGGTAGGTTAAGAAGGTTGGAGCCACAGGTGAGAAGATATTGATGGGAGCCAAGGAGTGTGGCTTCTGTCAGTCACAGAAATTTAGTGTTCATCCACGCCTTGATATCTAACAAGCAAGTTGACAGAACATTGGTGGAACTGGCTGGAGGAGGAAAAGTAAATTTGTGTGTCATCCCCATACATGTAGAAATTGACCCCAGGTCTGGGATGACATCACCAAGAGATGAGAAAGGAGGGGACCAAGGATAGAGCCTTGGGGTATAGTTGGGTGACTGTGCAAGGATGGGTGAATAAACCGTTTGTGGAGACATAGTGATGGCAGTGGGTCAAGGAGGACTCCGAGCAGGAAAGTGCGGTCCCACATTTTAAGATATTTTGAGGAGCTTTGAGGAAAAACGATAGCTTTCGGGACCCATGACTGCTGAGTTGGTATTATTCTCCGCTCGTCTATTTTTCTGAGCCTCGAGTATGAGAGCTTTATAACTAATTCCACTGACCTTCAGATAATCACCCAAAAGAGTTTAAATCTTATAGAGTCAGAAAAGGTTAAAAAAAAGTCTCCATTGGGAGTCTGAATGGTTGACATTTCCTTGGAGGACATTACTACTTCTGTATGTGCTTTTCAAGTTTATGTTAAAGCCTTGGATGAGCACAATTCAGAGCTCCTCAATTCAGTGTGTTTGCTTTTACTTACCTTGCAACTAGAAGTCATTTGTTTCCCAAGATAATAGAAGTTGTTCTTCAGACCAAGGAAGTCTTTTTCGAAAATAATGTATAGAAAGTTGGAAAGTGTCACCTCATTAACCCTAGATCTGAATTATACAATTTCAGATAGTTCCAAAGCTTAGTAGAAATGGAGTAGTCACAAACTCTGATTGACAGATCATACTGTTCCAGTATAATGGAATCCAGCAATTCAGAGAATTGATTTGTTTGGGTAAAAGATTTCCTGAATGATAACTTCTGCAGACATTAATTCTACAAGTATCTGTTAAAGTTTATTTGTCGTTCCTAGATTCGCAAAAGGCTAAGCACAAAATCAATATAGAATTTGCCTGGATAAGGAAATATTTCGGAGATTCTTTTTGCTGCAAAGCACTTCTATAATGATTCTAGTTGCAGCTCAAACCTCTTGGAGTATTCAACAGCCCAATTCATGATAAAGTGATTGCGTAAATCCAATTCATGATATGCCAGGTCCAGCAAATTACCTGACAAAATCCTCTTTTCAAATTGACTATGTATTCCCTTTGAATCATGGAATGTTTTGGAGTGTTGAAGCACTGAAACAGCCACCTTTCCCATCAAGCCTGCACTTTAGTTTCAAAGTGAAGATTAAATTCAACAACATGTGAAACTCTGAATACTGTTAAATACTAAGAAAATAGCGTAAACTGGACCCAGATGGAATTTGTTGCAAAATGCATTTGCACTCTCTTGCCCACTTCCCACAGACTTGATTATTGTTTTTCAAACATCTATTAAATTTCCTTTTAAAGAAACCTGAGAACTCTGCTTCAATAATTACTTTACTGCAATGTGTAACAACTGTATTTTGTGGGCAAACAAAACAGCAAGTTGCACACTGCGATGGTGTGAATCAATTTTATTTGGGGATTGTTAAACTGTTCACCAGGAGAAATTCCGTTCTCTTTTTGAATAGTGCCATGTCCACCTGGAAAGGCAGACAGGGACCCAGTTTAACTCATCCAAAGGACGGCACCTCCAACAATGCAGCATACCCGCAAGCTCTGTACTGGAATGTCAGTATAGACTATATTGGGGCCTGAACTCACAACCTTCTGTTTCAGAAGCAAGAGTACTACCAACTGAGACCTGCTGGCACACACACGCAGGCTGATCTCTATCAGATCTCCACCCCCGCCTCTCCCTCCCCATGCTGATCACTAATATTTAGTGACCAAGAGTCCAAATAATGATTGAATATGTGAAACTGTAGATTTCACCTCAAACTTTTTTTTATCAATTGGCTGTATAAAATACAACAGTTTGTGTAGATCATTGGGTGAAGTTAGGCAGTCCAGTTACTAAATGTTCAACATACTTTTGTGACAGGGGAACGGTGCTGTCTGCATGATAACATACCAATGTACAATCTTAATATCAGGGAAAGCTTCCTTCCTGGTTGAATGCTTAGACTGAACAGCCCTGACCCTTGAATATAAACTCCCATATAAAACATAACTGTGATCATAGAAGTATACAACAATAATAACAACAAGATTACATTTGGATAGCGCCTTTCACGTCGGGAAGCATACAGAGCAACCCCATTATAAAGCTGCGGCTCAAGACAAAAATCAGACATAAAGGGTCCATGGAAAAACATGACTACTTGTCCTACTTCTGGGTCATCAGATCACTACGATGTCACTTCCTGTGCGTGCACAGCCAATCAGCTGCGACTGTTCACACAAACATTACTAGCATCCTGTTTAACCCAAAAGTGTATTGTACATCTAGTAACTTGAGTCACAGGAGACCTGGGTTATAAGCAAACTCCTGCTCTAGCAAGGCGCTTAATAACACTGAGAATGTACAGGACAGGAAAAAAACATTATGAAAGAGTCGGTTTTTTTTATATATAAGCTTTAAGTAATTCCAGCAAGCGCACACTGACTTTTTTTGTTTCTAGATGTTCCTATATTCCCAGATGGAGACCTGTAACTGCATCTGTTTTGTGGATGTCAAGATCACAGGGTGGTCCATGTCCCCACTCACACAACATAGCTCAATAGAAAAACTGCACCAAAGAGGGGATGTTTGCAAACAGTTCCTGCGAGGCTTATTTACTATAAAAACGAATCCAATGCAAAATACACTTCACGCAATTTATCAGATAAAGTATGAGAAATTCTTATTTATTGGTAACGTGGGTGTTTTGTTGCAGCTGTGAATCTGGATATACTGGACAGCGCTGTGAAAACAGGGACTTCAATATCCTGTATGTCGTTCCAAGTGGCCAGAAGCTTCACTATGTCCTAATTGCAGCAATAATTGGAGCGGTGCAGATTGCTATAATAGTTGCTGTGGTGATGTGTATAACAAGGTGGGTGCAATGCTCTCAACAATAATTGCCACGGTCAATTTAGCAAATGTAAAAATGTACATTTGTGGAGCTTGATGAGCATGTTTTCAAAATAAAATATCTTACTTATGTTCCACTTCTCTCCTGCCTCCCCACCGCCACCAACAACAATTTTCAATTATATAACACCTTTCAAGTTGGAAGCAGGTCTCAAAGGACTTTACTGGCTGAGCACCTGTGGGGGATGGGCGGGGGCAATTACACAGTGAACCACGCCAAAGAGAAATGGGTAGATAAAAACTAACCATTATAATACTATTTATATTTGGTATCGTGCTTTTCATGTCAGGAGAATGTCTTGAAGCGCTTCGCAGGATTTATTGTAGAGTATAGTGATTGTGTATTTTGTGGGTGAGGATAAGGGACCTGCTCCTTGGTCTGTGGTGCTACAGCTTTCCAACCAGATTTCTGCACGTGCACAGGAGCAGGGGACATTCCTGCTGATTGTTTCGCTCTCCCTTTGGTGAAGCACCATATGGCCAATTGCAGTTGCAGGCTGGCTGTGTCCCACGTCTCTATGTCAGTGACGAGGTGCAAAGTGCTTCCTCTCCAATTTGCCTCTGTGAAGGGCAGTTTTGAAAGCGATAAAAAGATAATGTATGCCTCAAAGACTCATCAGCCAAAGGTGCCCAAAGCTTTTTGTTTCTTTCAGAGTTGTTTTGAGAATTGAGTGGTATGAGTAGACTTACACTTTTATCTCTAGGACCAGACCACACTGATGGGATCAACATCCTCTCTCTATCTCTCTGACTGTTCACCTCCAGAATACAGTCACAATACTCTACAGTAAATCACATGAAGTATTTTGAGACATCTTACCAATGCGACAAGAATAACAAATTATATTTGTATAGCACATTTCACGTTGGGAGGACGTCCCAAGGCGCTATATCATGTATAAAAATCATTATTATTAATAAGGGTGCTGTGTGAAATGCGTTTTGGCCATTTCGACCCAATTCTTAATGAACACGGGGTCAAAGCTCAAAACACCGCTAATTTAATAATGTCCCTCGGGGAAGTAGAAACATCACATTGCTATGGTAGTTGGTATGATTACTTAAATGAGGGTAGATGCATTATTAATTGGAGGTAGATTTTCTGCAGCTGGTCATGCTATGCCTGAATATGAGAGTAATTGATGCTCACGCTTGGTGCCTGAACTAATAATCTATTCTATTTCCCATCCCTCACCTTAATGAGCATAAAAATCCACAAAAAACTGAATCAGAATGAAAATACATAATAACTTGCATTCCTATAGCACCTTCCATGTAAGAATAAATGTCTTTAAGTACATTACAAAATCTGATCGATTCGAAGTGTAGATAAACACAGCAGCGAAGCTGTTCCAGCAACAATGAGTTGCCAATTAATTTGAATTTGGAGGTACATTTGGTTAAGGAGGATTAAGCCAGAGTAACTATTGAAAGACTCCACAATTCTTTAAATAGCAATGGCAGAGCAGTCTCTTTGTGTTCGCTTGAATCACAAGTGAGACAAATCTTAACAGCACAAAACAAGTAAAAACCACTGAGAATTACATTTCTAAAGCAGTGATTATTCTCTTTCGTTTACAGGAAATGTCCAAAAAACAACCGGGGACGTCGGCAGAAGCAAAACCTAGGACATTTTAATGCAGACTGCACCACTTCATCAAGGATGGTCTAGTTTGATTTTTTTTGAATACTCTTTTTCCTTCATTCACCATATCTCACCAGTTGCTGAATTACAATCGATTTTTGTTTCTTGAGAAGAAGAGATTTTTGTTTGGAAGGCCGTGGTTTTCTGGACCCTTGCCAGTTTACGGATTATACAGTGTCTGGTTATACTGCAGGATCCTGCCACTGGCAAACAAGTAAGACAGTCTAATGGTACCTGAGATTTTCATCATTCCCATCAACAGATGGATTTCTAGAAAAAAATTCAAACAACAAAAAAAAGTTAAGATGATGCAGCTATTATTGAAATAATGTACTAATGAAGGGAATGATTTTTTGTACTTCAAAATTTGTGCCACTAACGTACGTCTGTGTAATAAGCTGACCACGGTGGTCATGATATATTGCAATTGACTCTTAAAAGGCAAAAGTAAAACTACCTGAATGGGTATAAAGCCAAGCATGAACAGGATGTGCTGAAAGAAAAACTTTTTCAAAAGTTTACAACTGACTTTCCTTATGTGAAACAAAGTAAATAATAAGTCAGCAAAAGTTGATCTTTTTTTTCAAATCTATTGGTAACTGCTGCCTTTTCGAACACTAGGTGCATGATTTGTGGAACTGTGAACTGTGAGTAGATTAAAATTCAAAGCTGTTCGGATTAAGTTTGTGGTTGACATCTGAGCACTGCCATTCTGATATCTCTGACACTATATCTATATTTGATTCCCCTTGATGTAAATTTAGTAACACTTAAATGTAACTGGTGGTGTTTGTGGTGTGCGCCACAAGGAAAAGGATGTGTCTTTGTAGAGCAAAACGTTAGCTTGATAATTGGATGTGTTTACTGGGATTCAAAGCATTTTTTTCAAAAACAATTGAACTGAAACATTGTTATTAGTTACGATCATGCTGTGAGAAAAATGCACTGTAATTGCATTAGTAGTTGAAGTTACTTTTCAACCAGTACTAAAAACACAAGAGTGTCACCTACTGGACCTGTGCATTATGGGCTGTAGTTTAACATTTTCATGGTTCTTTCATTGCAGGGACAGAGGCTCAGTTGCCTTTGGAAAAGCTATTGCCCCAGGAAGCAGTGCAATGTTGGCCTTTAACAATAAAACAGAAATTGAGCTATCTCATTTTATGTTCAGTTCTCAGCCAGTTTGCCAAAATTCTTTATTATCCACAATAAGCCCTACAAAGCCAAAAAGTAATTTTATTTGTGGTAAAGTTCCAGTGAATTACTGTTTTAATGACATTTTCCAGGTTTATTCATAAAGACATGGTCAATCTAATTCCTAGCCTATAATAATAATACAGTGTTTATCTTGTCTGGTGTTTTAAACACATTGAAAGGCCCAGTTTAAAAAAAAGCATGAGCTGCACTATAAATTCACCCTCTTTTAAAACCAGCATTTTGGCATTACAATGGTTCCCACTTATAGAATTGAAATGTACAATTGAAGGACTGCGTACCATCCCGATTAGAAACCTCCCACCAACATGTTGTATGTGTCTGTAAAAATCAACATGATCAGAAATAACTAATGTAAGCCATGTACTGCTTTTTAAGTATGCGTTGATGTGTCTTTTTATACTGCATAACACTGAAACTGACAAGTATTTTAAAGAAAAAGCTGTGAGTTCCTAATTTGTAGTTTTATAAAGTTTTCTGTGTACATTTGAAGTCATGGCGGTAGATTTTTAATGTAATGCATGTGGACAGGATGTGAAAAATAAACAAGGGTTTAAGCCTCCCTTTCTCAAGGATTTTCAATTCCTTTCTATTCAAGACATGATTTTCAATTTCATTTTCATAACATTCATATCCTTGTGCTGCCATTCATTTCTTTTAGTGTAAGACATTCATGTGGAATATACAACAGCCAAAAAAAATTTATGATCTACAAATAAGCCCATCAGTTTCCTTATCTGTATTTAAATGCTGCCTTTCAAGTCAAAAGTAATGTATTTCTCCAATGTTTTTCTGTTACCAGCAATAAGAAAGGACAGCCACAAAGGTACTTCATCATATTTGAAAGTATTAGCAAACAGACTCCGACTGATTTTGATCAATATATAATTGTAGTGTAAAATAGAAAGTCTACTCAATGCAATCATGTTGATGACCACGATATTGTAATGATAATAATAATCTTGCATTTGATGTCGTGCCTTATCACATCATTGAGATGTCTCAAAGTGCTTCACAGGATATAATGTAAAGTGAACTGACTATTCTATTGGTGAAACACGACAGCCAATTGCGCACAGCAGTGTCCCACAAACAGTCGTGGTTTGAGTGACCAAATCATTATTTTTTTTGGAGGGATTAGGATTAGTACCGCCCCCCCGTACATTGTTGTTAAAGGAAAATGTGATCTAGTATGTGATGATGTCTGACCAAATTCTTAAAATAAGGTAAACTTAAGCCAGTCACTCTGACTCATGAGAACTCTGATGGGATTTACTTTTGGAGCACATCCAGCTGGTATATTGCCCTCTGCCTTGCCCCCTCCTTCCCCATCTTCAGGTCACACCTGAAGGCCTTCCTATTCGACCGTACCTACGGTCACCTCCCCCCAGCTCGGTGACGAGCTCCGCCACTGTCAAGCACTCTGGGACACTACCCTGCGTGAGGGTTTCTATAAAAATGCAAGTTGTTGTTTGTGTGTTTTTTCTGGTTATGGGAAGGAGCCTCCCCCACCACATTAATTTCTTATTAAGGAATCCTGTTAGAAGTTACACATATTAGACCCCATTGCTTCGTACAGCTGTGAGTTTAAGTAACACTTGTGTTCCTCAGTGTAGGCAAAAGTTTTGAAATTAACCATTGTAACATTAGAAAGAGGGAATCATAGTTTCACTTAATCACCACAAGCCTAGTTAAAATGGTTGGCAGTTTCAGTGCTGTGCGTTTCTGTTTAAATACAGAATTTGATTTTTTATGAACTTCAGTTTAGATCCAAACTTATGACTCAACCCTAACTCTGTGTTATTGAACTATTCAAGATTATTTAACATCTGTAGAGTAAAGAGTCCATCTGGAATTTCCAACTGTTTTTGATGCTTTCTTCCTATGTTAACTGCACATATAGATAGCAAGGAAACATACTTGTCTTTTGAAAAAAAAATTAAGTGTGCAAGATGTAGTTTCATTCTGCATAAAATACTTCAGTGTTGATGGTCAGCATGCTCCTGGGAAGCTCTGAATGAATGTTATTAGAATTTGGTTGCAGAAGGGTTTTAATTTTACCAACAATCAAATAATCAAACACTGCAGCATCGGGAGATGGGAATTTTCAAGGCAAAACAGATTAAATCTCAGACTGTACTTACATTGTCATTCTCACGTCAGAATAAAAGTAACATTTTTAAAATTAATCTTAATAAAACATAGTTTTTTGGGTTCAATAGTTCAAATTAGTATAAAATTCAACATTTTAAATAGGTTCACAGACTCAGTAAGTTGGTAGATGAGCTATCCAGACCCAAAAGGATTCAAGATCCATTCTCAGCCTATGCTTAGCTATTTGATCTCAACTAGTGTCCACCAAAGGTGCTCCAATTGGCCTCACCACTTTAAAATATGGAGTACCTGTACCTTAGTGGTTAGAACACTCGCTTTGCAAGCAAGAGACTTGGGTTTCCTTACTCCACACTCCTCTGTTTACCTAGCAGTAATAATAATAATAACATTTCAGTTTACCAGAATAAAAAATAATAATAATAATCCTTGCATTTGATATAGCGCTTTTCACGTCAGGAGGACGTCCCAAAGCGCTTCACAGAACACACTGTAAAGTGAATTGACTGTATATTTGTGGGCGAACGCGGCAGCCAATTGCGCACAGCAATGTCCCACAAACAGTCGTAGATTGAAAATGACCAATTTAATTATTGTTTTTAGTTTTGGAGGGATTATTATTAGGCGTGTGGAGTAAGGAAACTTGCCCAAGGTTTCGCCCTGCCTGGAATTGAACTCAGGTCTCTCACTTGCAAAGCGAGTGCTCTAACCACTGAGCTACAGGACTCCACAGTAAGTAGGAACCCGGGTGTTAATCGATTGGTGGATCGCTTTTCTGGGGGTTATAATTCCTTAAAAATATGGGTTACTCAATCCACGACTGTTTGTGGGACACTGCTGTGCACAATTGGCTGCTGTGTTTCGCCCACAAAAATATACAGTCAATTCACTTTACAGTATATTCTGTGAGGCACTTTGAGACGTCTTGAAGACGTGAAAAGGCACTATATGAAATGCAAGGATGATTACTGTTAAATTAGGGAAGGGGAAAGCAAGCTTCCTGCTCCTGACTGCTATCCAGTGACCTCTGCTGGAGGTTCTTGCCTGTGGATTCTGGGTGAGATCAGGATCAGACATATCTCTTGTTTCCTTCCAAGGCCAAATAGCCTGCCAACACTCACACATAAATAATGGCCATCTGCCAGCAGTATCATTCGGAGGGGAGGGAACAAAATTGATGGGAGGGAAAAAAATAAAATAAAGGCTCCCTTAACACCTAATATGCTGAGCTTTACAGAAAAGTAAGGTCCAAAATTTGGTTCCTAACCTGTGTTATATTAGCTGATCTCAGCTAGGCTGAGAATACAGCCGCTACAATTGGGTACAGTGACCTTGGGCTAGGAACAGGGAAAAATCCTCTCCAGTTCCTTCTCCTGATGGCTACATAGTAACCTGTTGGAATGTGCAGGCTCAGCGGGTAAGCAGAGGATGTGGTTTGGCTGTAGTGACCTCTGAGATTCTGTAAGCTGACAAAATTCTGGACCAGGTTAAATGTTCACAGTTGGCAAAAATGATGTCCCAAATTCGCCAGCCAGCACCTTTGGGAGAAAAACAGGGGGGGAATATTCAAATGATCCATACAAAGTCATTAAGGCTAATTTGGGCTGGAATTTAATTCAGATGATAATCAAAATGAGGATAGATCATTTCTGATTATTCTCCGTGTGTGTCATTTGCAGCATAAACCACACAACACTGTGATCTTCATCTAAAATGGTAAACCAGCAATTTCCATCTGCCTTTTTGTTCCTTCTTTTTCCAGATACACAATCTGGAATTGCTTTACCCACACTGCAACATTTTTCCATCTTATTTAAAAATTCTGTCTTTCATTGATGATTGTTGCCCAAGCTCAATTATACTTCAATTCATTTCCGAGTGCAAATTCACTTCAATTCATTTCCAACCTGTACAAAGTTGATGTATCTCAATGAGAACTTACTACTACAGTACTGTAGCCTCAAAATGCATTCTTTGTAGCCCAGTGGTACAGAATACATTAGCTTCTAAATAAAATATTAACTTTCAGCTGTCCTAAATTTTTAATTAATTTCTCTATGCAATCCATCAATTAATTATTCTATTATTTAATCAAATTCTATTAGCATGTTAAGGTAAAAGGGCACGATTGAACCAGTGACACGGGAATGGAAAGAGGTGATGGAGAGATCTTAGAGGGAACTCAGTAAACTCTTGTCATATAGCACACTGGGTGGGAGAGGATGAATGTTTTCCTTTTTGTTCATCCAGCCAGACTCTACTGCTTGAAACTTGCTAATGTTGCAATCTCACAATCTTACAAAAATTCAGAGAAAACCATGAAAATTGTTAAAAAAAACTCCTCACAGCAAAAGCAGTTTGTGCATTATTAAATAACAGTTTTGATTTTTAATTTGTGCTCTGTATGTCTGTGTTTGTTAAAGCCTTGTCAGGCATCCTGTTCTATAAACTTATAACGATGACCAAAATAAAAAGGCAGCTATGTACTGCAGTTAAAAGCTGTCAGATGAGATTTCAGATTTTACTGAAGGAGGACAGCTGTCCGCTCACCAGTGTGAGAATTAAAGGTATTTTCCACACTCGGGTTAGAATCCATCCTCGCACACCCAAGTATGTCAATAATTCAAGATGGATGCGTGACAGCCGTAAAACATGGGTGGCTTCCAGAGGTAGGTGGAGTCACACGCTACCTTTTTAGTCTTGGATCATCTGTGAGAATGGCTGGTTGATGCCTCCTGCCAGCACAGCGTGGAACACAGTATTGGTCGTGCCCCTCCACCCCCTTTGCCTAAACTCAGACAAAGTTCATGTTTTAAATTAGCCACAGGAGGAGAGCTTTCTGAACCAGCAGCAGCATGGCCGAGGAACGGGTGCATTCAGATTCTAGCAAGGTTGCTTTCGACATGTCGACCACTCATGCTGGCGAAGAAGAAAACGCTCCACTTGATCCATTAGCTGTATTAACTCTCCTGGAGAAAGTGGCCGGGATTGTTGACACTGTTAATGAAACTCAGCAAAAGATGCAGCAACAGCAGATGGAAATTGAAAGCACCGTTAAGATGATACAAATCGATGTTGCAAGGCTCCATAAGGCTCACCTGACGACAGACACCTCGGTGGCAAAGTTACTAGAGAAAACCCGAAAGATCAACGTTAACATGAAAGATGTCAGACAGCGACTGGATCGAACAAACGCTGAGGTCAAAAAGGTTGAAGGAAACCACAATGAACTACTGAAAAGGAATAAATTTCGAGTGGTCATATTCCAGGTAAGCTTCAACCGAAATAAATACTTTGAGCATTTCTAGTTTGAAGAGGCAAGTTGGCTAATCCTTCATTTAACACTTTGGCTAGTTCCTTCAGTATGAGCTATGGCAGGCATAAGGCATAAGTCACAGGAGCTGTGGAGCTATTTGCAGTTCAAGTCCATTCAGCAGGAATCATGTTATAAATAAGCTGTCCTGCCCATGGGTGCGTATCATCCATTGCAATTTGTTTTTACAACAAAACTTAAGAGTTTGTTAAATATTTTAAAGTCAAACATTACAATTCCTCAGACATGTTTCTTTCCCTTGCTTTAAGTTTGTTTCAAGCACCTTGTAATACAACAGCCATTCTTTGTGTCAATAAAATGAAATGAAACAATAAATGATTTGGGAGTGGAGCCACAGCTGTAAAACGTATATGACAGCACAGAGTAATATTAGTGCATCAGCTGGCCTTGTGCCACCTTGCCTTGATGATTGATGGCTGTGGAGCAGTGACTATTTGCTGCCCACATGAAAAATAATATGGAGATAAATACACTGCGTGTTTGATTTTCTCACTCAGATTGGTAATCACTAGATTATTTTGTCCTGTAGGCTTTCATGCATAGATGAATACATGGAAGTATGTTCAGAAACTTCACAATGTTGCACTATCCTTGGTTAGATTTCATACACTACTGTTACTTAATTAACCGCTGGAACTTGATGCACCAGCATTTCTTGAGCCGTTAATTTCACATCCTCATAAATGAACTGAAGAGCTAAATCTTGTCATGTATCGCATCTCCTCCTATCAATTTCGCAAACGTATGCTGGACTGTTTTAACAGCAGAAGATTCCTGCAATCAACTTAGTTTTAGTACATCTAGCTTCTATATGTTAGGACAGCAGACAATTAAAGATTCATGTTACATTTCTTAACAGAATGAGGAATGGGCTGTTGGCTTCTGGTTTCAATTCCATTTAAGTAGAGGTATTAAAGTTATACATAGGGAAATAAAAGACAATATACTTGATATCCAGGATAGTTTGGCATTCCAGGTGCAAGTCATCTTGGCTAATTTTGTGTTCCAATTTGCTGTTTTGGGGATTTAATGGGATTTAATCCTGATTAGAATTCTTGTTGATGCACAGGAATTTTGATCCAGAAGTTGATTGGATCAGAGCGACACATTTCCAATGACAAGGAATCCCTATTTATAATGCTTGGATTCCTTATTAAGGAATCCCATTAAGAAAATAACTGTAGTTTAGCCCCCACCTACCTACATCTGGTACATTCCTCCAGGAACATTATGGTTCATACAAGGACTCACAGGCCTGAAATTCCACCTTGTGTTAACCAGTAAGAGTTTTTTGTCTTGAAATTTAAGATTGTTCAGAATTGTTGAAAATTCTTTAATTCAGTCTTTGTTTGAAGTTAGATTTACTCAGCGCTTAATAAAGAAAGAGCTTCTAAATTAAATCAGACTGAATTGAAGAATTTTTCACAATTCTGTGCAATCCTACATTTAAATGGTTTTACAAGAAAAGACTGGATGAAATTTGAACCACTATATTTGTAAGTAACAATGCTGAGATTTATTCTGTGCAGAGATAAAACTGAATGTTGGAAATCTGAAATAGAAACAGGTGGAAAAACACAGGAGGTGGATGAGTATGTGAAGATGATCCATTAACATTTAGGTTAGGTCATCAGAAAAAGGTTAACATTTAAGGCCCAACCCTTCTCCAGAGCACTGCCAGAGCACTGATGAATGATCACAACTGCAACAACAGCCCCTTTCTCAGTCAAACACTCCATTGATCTGCTGCCCCCACAACCAGATTATTCTGTTTTTAATGAGCTTCATTCAATTTAACCCAAATAAATAGTTGATCATAATATAGATATTAAGGGGGAAAATAATTGAATTATTTGAACACCTCCAAAGAGGCTGACAAAGTAACAATGTTTACTGAGATTCCTCCAAATGATCTCCAGTGCATACAATCCAATCCAATTTACGTTTATACTGCGCCTTTCAAGTCAGGAGGATATCTCAAAGTTCTTCGGAGTCCTGGATGGCACCTGAGCCGGGAGTGGGGAAGGCGTGTATTTATATGGTTACACGGCTACTGCGTGACTGCGGGAATAATAACTTCCATTGATTTCATACTGAGAATACTCCTAATGTGAGGGGATAAAAATCTAGAATAAAAGTTGCATTTTGTCCTTTCGCAGGAAGAAAATGAAATTGCCTCTTCCGTCGCCTATAAAAAACTTCCTAAAGGCAGCTCGGCTGTGGTTGAAGAGGAGCACACTGCTACAGAACACATGCCACCTCCAGATCTTTCTTCCGATGAAGAATATGTATACGAAGAAAACACCACCGCTGCGCGCCTCAAGAAAACTGGCAAGAAGCAGGTGGATAATATCAAAAAAGCTTTTTCCAGAGAAAACATGCAGAAAACCAGGCAAAATATCGGGAAGCAGATGAACAGGCTGAGCACCACGATAGTCCCTCCAGAACAGAGAGAGAAGATAAGGATTTCAGGAGAGAGGATCAAAAAGTCCATCACTGATTCCAAACCGTTTCATATTAAAAAGAAAAATGAGAGGAGTGGGGCGGAAGGACAGGAAGTTGCTGTCAGAGGGATAGGAGAAAGTTCCAAGGGTGAAGGCGTCATGTGCACTGAAGTAGTAACTGCACCGGGAGGCGCTCAAGTCAGCCAGGATCATCCCCAAGCGGCGATTACAAACGTTGCCAATACCGAAACGGTTGTAGTGACAATGGAAAGCAAAAACGAAGAGGTTGTACCTGCGACAGCCGAAGTGAAGCAGAACCCTGAGTACAGTTAAACGTAGACCTGAAGCTGCACTACTTGACAGCAGGTAGAAAATGGGAGAATAGCAATTCTGATGTTGACCCATCGATAAAACGTTCTTGTCTGTGAAATCAGATTCACCTGAATATTGAGATAATTGGTTTTCAGTATTTTTTATTCAAAAACAGGCACGATATGTTTGGATGCCCACATTTAAGATGTCAATCCTCTTACTCACGTCCTGCTAGCAGGCTGACTGAAGTGGATCTCAGATGACCGTGGATCAGTCTTCTGCATATTTTCCTAATAGCTGTAGAAGTGGGTCCAGAGGGATTGGGAAGGATTCACTGAGATTTGTTGCCCCTTGACCCTTCTCCTCTAACACCCTCTCCCCCCCGCCCCCAAGCAACAAAATTTTAAATTAGTAAAGAAAAGTTTGCATTCATTAAAAATAAGTAGATCTTCAAATAAGGGCGTCAACGTTTAATTTTGTATCTGTATTCTTAAAGGTTCATTTTTTTATTGGAGCTGAAAGTAGTGCAGTTTAATTCTGGCCAGTCGCTCAACTGCTATTCCATAGCTATATCCAGATCACTTGTTGTCACATGCCACTTAGTTGCAAGAAGAAATTATAGATAAAAAAATCTTGCTTGGCTGGTGAGAGTACCGCATGTGAACTGAGTAACCACAGCTCAGGTATCTGAATGAAAAGTAAGTATAAAGTAATAGGAATATTTTACTTGTAAATGTGGCGTTACGTGCTAACATTGTTCCATACAAATCCATGGACATTTACCATATTCCATCCCACAGGGAAGATGTTATTTACTGTGTAATCGTGAGGCTTTGAAATATATTTCCACAAAGCAAATATGGTTTAAAACCCACTTTTAGCTACACAGAAAAAAAATCAAGACAACTCAAATAAAATGTTTTTTCTTTTGCTTCAGGTATTTTACAAATACCGTTTTTTAATACACTTATTTAACTGATTTATAGCATGTTTTCTGACGTGTTTAGCCTACATATTTACATCAGTAGCTTAGTTGGCTTTCAAGCTGATAGTGTTTTTAGTTCCTAGAATTACAGTAGATAAGATAGTCTTATTTAGTTGAATGTTACCTGGTGTATTTGTCTAGTTGTTTTGTTGCTAGCATCAGTTCGCTGTGGTGTGCATGTGCAAATATTAAATGGTGATAGCAGTCATTGAAGACATTTGTTTTGTTTTCAGTGCTCGAGGCACAACCTGTTCAAATCCATGCAGTCAGACAATTCCTTTGTAAGCCCACAAAGCCAAGGTTGGCGCATGTACCGACCAGAGGAGTATTGACCAATGATCCCTACGCTCATTATGAAATGCTCACAAACTGTATGGTTTTGTGAGTTTGAAACATTTTTATATTAAATAGCTCTAGTTTATTGATTGGGCAAACAGAAGCAGAGCAAATATGTTGCTTCTCCTATCACTCCTCTCCTCCCTGTATGGCTTCACACTGGGTTAGGATTTCATGGGTGCTGGCAGCCCTCTGGTACCCGGCCCATGTGTTCATTCTTCATGTGAAAACTGGTCAGCTATTCAACCAGAGAGACATCATAGCCAAGCCTGGCCTGTGCTCATCTACAGCCACCCAATAGCATGTTTCCACCAGACATATCAGGATAGCATCCAAGAATGGGATTTGTCCTGCTTAACACAGGGATGTTGAGAATCAAATATAGCACGCTCTCCTCCCCCCAGCCCCTCACGCACTTCTGGGTTTCAAATCCTTGTCTTTTAATAGTGTCTAGAAAGGGAAGAGTAATGGAGGGAATCTTAGGCCAAATTGTAGTATTTTCTCCCTTTCCCTTCCCTTCCTATTTTAAACTTTGGTTTTAATCCTTCTCATGTATCCCAGCCAACAGGACAGGTTGGAACCCTGATCCCAGGCTGCTCTAGAACAAGTAACAGTGCACTTTTTACATTTATTTTCACTCTTGACGTGCAGTATAAAGGAGATCCCAGGCAGCAAGATTTGCAGGTGGACAATTGCTTCTGGCACTAACGGGAAGAGAAATGGCTTAGCTCTTTGCACCAGCTTTACCCTTCGGTGCAGCTTCACCTTTGTATCGCTCGCAATGTACATTTCATGCTTTATTCGTGTGTTTTTACGGGTTGCTCCAAAACATCTGTGTGTTGTGATGTTACTAACTAGTATTAGCAAGTGTTGTCTGCTTCCCTTAACCTATCATATTGTAAACCATGGAACCTCTTGGGGAAGGTCAAAAAATATCGTCAGGTTTGTAGTTTTTAAATGTTTTTTGTGAGGATTGTCTCTGTGTGTCTCATTCTTTGAAATTCTTTCAACTAACTTATGTACTAAGCAAAACATTAGCTTAAAAACAAAATGGTGTTTGAGTGTATGTGTATGTAGTCCTCCTTCATTTCTAGCATATTTAATATAACAGTAGTTTACAATCTACTTAAATATATTATAGGTAGAGCACGGAGGCCGTGAGTTCAAATGCCACAATGGTGCCTGTGCCTACTTTTGGGAGCTTGCACAAGTCCCAGGAAATATGTGTAAGAGCCAGACGATGGCTGGGATGGCTAAGGAGAAAGAAAAGCCAGAGACATGAAATCTGATGATGGAGAAATTGAGTGAGACGAATGAAGAGTGCGTGAGAGAAACATGAGAGGAGAAAACTAAGAGAGCAAAACTGAAAAGTAGAAAAATAGTCAACCTGATCAAGAAAGGTAGAATGATAGAACAACCTACAATGTGGAAAAGATTTTTTACATTACAGAGCGATAGATGCTATGAATACACTCAGAGAGACACCTTACTGTGAACACTAAAGCTAGTCCAGCTTTGCTGTGTCTATATCAATATTTTGTTCCTTCCCTGGATCCGAGCTTGGAGAGTGTTCAGGGATCATACAATTTACATCAGTTCTCTCGTGTAATCTTCCTTTATAGGCATAATTGATTACCCACTAAAACATTACTACATTTCCCCACTATTATATATTTGTCACCACAACATTAGATTATTAACACAAGTTAAACACCAAGATATCAAAATCCATCTCTCCTCTTAACTGTACTATTTCACATGTAAAATGTTACAGTAAATGAAATTAGGAGGGTGAGAGTTTCCAAAGTGCTGCATTCCCTCTCCTTCACTGCGCAGTATGGGACCTGACCCTTCTACATGTCACAACACTGCCTCTGAAGGTCAGATCTGCTGAAGCAAGAAATGTAACTGTGAAGTGAACATGGAACAAAAGCTTACAAACAGCGGGCTAAAGCACGGCAATTTCAAATGGGATTCTTTAATTAAGCAATCTGGAAGTAGGTCACGCTGAGTTACCAATGTTCTTTCAGAGAGCAACTCAATGTTCTTTCAGAGAGCAGATTCCATGAGTTGACATATTTCCGATTAGCAGAAGGAGAACTTGCTCGGATTCTTTGATAAGGAATCCTGCATAAAATTGTCATGTTTTGGACCCCATGGACTATCATTTTCATTTTGTGATTCTAACCTGCAGGCTTTCTGTATGTTATTACATGGGTGAGGGAATGGTATCTGTATTATCAGTTCAAAAAGATCCGATATTACCTAGAGGTACATGAAAGAGCCTCATAATATTCCACAGTTCTGGCTCAAGTAAATTTTAATACATGTTCATGTTCCTCATTCATGCTATTTATCAATGGATTATGATGTATTATTGCCTTTGTAAAAATACTTTATGGATCTTGGTAATATTTATTACCGTATTAATAGGATGAGAGGTTGAAAGTTCATTGGTTATCTATCTAGAAGGAGAAAACCAAAATGGTCTTATTCCCTTCTAAATCATTGATACTTGGTGGTTATATTAATTATTGCTTTGGATGCAATTTCTAATTGTTAAATCAATAAAGAAAATAATACGTACAACTTGTTTGTGTGGGCTCATTCAGTACTTGTGTTTTTTACTGTAATACTCATCCCTAGATTCTAAATTACAAATAAAAGATAGTCCTCACTCCACAGCTGCTTCTCACACTGTGCATACAGCTATCATGATCCAATTATTCGTGTTAACATTTTTAAAACAAGCCAATAACAACAACAATAATTGGAAGGATGAACTATGGTTCTAGGTAGAATCACAAACATTCTGCCACAGTTCTCTGGAACTCTATCCTGGAGACCCTCCAAACTCGTTCCCTCTCTCCCCACTTTCAAAGCCCATTTCAAGACTTATCTCTTTGACTGGGCTTTGAGTCATCTTTGCCCTCTCTGCCCATTTTAGCTCCCCAGCCAGCAGTGTAAAGCACTTTGTGATGTCCTCCTGACGTGAAAAGTGCCATATCAATATTAATTGTATTGTGAATAAAAAACAAAATTCCATAGTATTTGGATATCCAACAGTCTTATGATTGTCGGTCATCCAAACAGTACAGGTGAACCTTTGGCCTTTCTACGATTGATCAAGAGCTCTTCAACTCAAAGTGAAACTATCACCTTAGTGCATAACAGAACACTGGTTACCTGAAATGGTACCGTCCACTTTTAGTTAGTTCATATAAACTGAGAAAACCAGAATTGAGTCGCGTCTGATAAAACAATTCAAGAGAGGCACTACAGAAACATTTCAGCGATTTGTAAAATGTGCTCTTAAATTTGAAATGTGAGTAAATTGAGAATTATGTAAATCGAGAATAGCAACAATTGAGTCACCGTGTTTTCCAGTCGCATCGAGAACAAACCCAGGAAGTGACAGACAGAGACAATCAATCATGTAATTGTCTCTCAATGTGGCAAGGTAGCCCATTACTCCCTCATTGAACTACATTACAGTTGGCTGGTCCATTTTCCATTAGAAATCCTCCTTTGAGCCTCCAATGTTACATAAAAATTGTACATTTCAGTAGTTAGAAAATCGGTTTATTTTTAAATCCTCCAAGCTAAGACGAACAGAATAGTCCCTTATAAGGATGAACATATGGATATAACATTTCATATCGAATAATTTCAAAGGGCACAAGGCCAAAACTATTCTGGTCCATTCATTCTTTGAACCTGGTGGAACCGCTAATTTAACAGACCAAGCCCTACATATTAATACTTTATAAGTGCTAACTAGATCTTTTCAAGTTTTAGAAAATTGCTTTTCAAAGATATAGTCAGGTAGAAACAATAAGCAAGTGATGAAAATACTTTTGCAAGCAAGTCCAGATTATTGGCATGCTTAACTTCTATTACAATATGAGTGGATCCTCCCTTTTTAAGTATCCAATGTAGCAAAAAAAACTCTCTGCTGTGATTTACAAGATTCCTGTCCAATGTGTTAATTGTACATTGCACTTGCCTGCTATTCCTCACAAAGTATTTAAAGTTTGCCCCTTGTATTCACTTCCCTACAGTTCACATTGGATGACTGATCAATATGATTAGCATTAAAATTATAATAAACCTTTCATCTGATGCTCCTCCTGGGATTTTATAGGTGTAGACAATCATGACTTTGCAAATAATGTGAAGTAGGCCAATAAATCCTCAAGTATTCAAGTGTCATCTGATCTCAGGGAAGGTTAATTCCGTTTTGTGGAGGGATTCAGATGATTTTTAAGGAGGATTTGGAACATATTCAGAATTACTTCTTATTTTGAAACTTGGAAAAAGGAAGTGAGCTCCAAAGAAATAAGTGAGCAGAACTATTTTTACTCCAATTTGGTACCAGTTTTTTTTAAAAAAGCCACTGGGCAGTGACCAAATGGCAGAATTAAAAGGACAAGTAATAGCAGAGAGTAAACAGATCTCACCTTATCCCATCCTGTTTTGGGCACTGAAGTGACTGTAACATAATCCTGTGTGACATACCAACCTATATAAATTTAGACTACCCCTTATTTAGAACCTCACTAGTGGAGTATGGTGTCACTGGAAGAATATTCATTCTGATAACCACATCTTTGCCCCAAATGGACATTAGCTGTTTAAGGACTGTTCTTGCAGTTGTAATGGATTATTCTTATGGAACACTAATAAATTAATTTTAATTCAGTGCTGTATTTAGTGATGCCATAATGCAAATTGCTTTAAATTAACAATATGATTTTAACAAATGCAATATTTTTATTGAATGTACTGACATTTAACCTGGAAGTTATATTTCTGTTTACTGGCAACATTAAAAGATAATTGGGATATCAAAAATGCCTCCCATTGAGGCAGCTCTCACCATTTTGTTCTATTAATAAGTACATACGTATACTTGGTCACACTATATCCCACCAAATCCGAGCGTACATATATGGAGTCATCATGGCTCTTCATCAGATATGGCTCAGCTTGTATTAATAGATTGTTTCCAGGTTAAGCGAATCGTTTTTTTTCCTCAATGTTTCTCCTTTATTAATAATACACGTGACTTTATCTGAATATGAATAAATTTCAGGATCCAAAACAACATAAAGCAGGTTCTGGGTTGAGGGCTGCACTCCCAAAAATAGTATTAGCCCACTCAGCATGCTCAAATGTCGAAGTGTGTCACGCAAATAATGCTTCCATCTTCCATCACTTCAGCCGCTGACACTATCACCATTCATGGCTGCCCTCTTCACCTCACCAAGCCAATCCGAAACCTTGGTGCCCTTTTCGACCCTCAGCTATCCTTCAAATCCCACATTCGTGCCGTGACCCTTTCCATCTTTCCCCATCTCCGCAACATTATCCACCTCCACCACTGCCTCTCACCACAGGCCACCAAGACCCTGATCCACGCTTTCATTAAGTCCTGGCTTGACTAGGCTAATTGCCTGTTCACTGGACTTCCCAACTCCTCCCTCCACAAACTGCAGATTATTCAGAACTCAGCAGCTCGTGTCCTCTTCCACACCAGGCTCTGGGAACCTATCACCCTCGTTCTTCCCATCTTCACTGGCTCCCCATTCCTCAGAGAATCGAGTATAAAACCCTCATTCTTACCTTCAAAGCCTTTCAAGGTCTTGTTCCCCCCCCCCCACCCCCAGTTCTCCGACCACATAACCCCATATCAGCCTGTCTGCTCCCTCTGCTCGGCAGACACCACCGGCCTGCTTCAGGTCCCCTGCACTACCCGCCCCACGATTGGCGGTCAGGCATTCAGCATCTCTGCCCCCCACACTCTGGAGTCTATCCCGCAATCCCTCCACCTCATCTCCTCTCTTGCCACCTTCAAGTCCCGTCTGAAGACTTTCCTCTTCGACCGTGACTTTGGCCACCCTGAGATGGGTTGGTCAAGGTCAATTAACTTAGTATAGCATTATGGGTGTTGTTATAGAAATTATCATATTTCCAGAAGTGTAGTGAAATGTCTTTCTAACAAGCACCTTTGGGAACAGCCTCAGTTATTTTTATAGCAAATTCCTCTTTGGACATAGGTTCATTAATGTATTTTGGGGACTGACATTAAGGAGACACTGTAATCAGGGGATCTCGCTGTGCAAGTGATCTCTGAGACAGTTACGTTATCTATGCAAAATCTATGCAAATTCATCAAACGACAAAATAGGAACCAACAGCAAATGACAGGGAAATAAAATTTAAATTCTAATTTAGTAAAGGTTGTTCAGCTTGAGTGATTGTTTTTCACTGCCAGTGTTCTCCGTAGTCAGTGATCAATTCTGTAATCTTGAAATTAAATCATTGGCATATTATGACGCTGAGACATACTTAATGTGCAGTCCATATCCTCTTTTATACCAGGTTCCAAGAGCCCATCACACCCATCCTCACTCAGCTTCACTGACTCCCCACCCCCAGCTGATCCAATTCAAGATACTCGTCTTCACTTTCAAATCACTCCTCGGCCTTGCCTTACCCTACCCCTGTGACTTCCTGCAAGTCTAGTATCCCAACTGCTCCCACCACTCAGAACCCTGCCTGCTTCATATCCACCCCTGATCCGCCCCACCATCATTATGCAAGCTACCAGCCAATCTGCCCTTGCTCTCTGGAATTGGGAGGCTATCCCAATGTCTCTCCATTTCACCTGCTCCCTCCTCAACTTCAAAAATCACCTTAAGATCTATCTTTTCACCTGCACATTAGATCACATTCCTCCTCCCACTCCATAGCTTCTGCTCCCCCTTCCCAGCTCTGGCTCCCAGACAACGGTATGAAGGGCTTTGAAATATCCTCCCACCACTCAAAGGTGCCATTTAAATATAAATTGTTCTTGTTGCTGATTTGTGCAGATTTCACTAACAATCTCGAATCAAGAGCAAGGCAGTGTTTGGTATAAGCATTAATTTCATTTATTCCTCCCCTACCATCTTCTCCAAAAAAACCACACACAATAAACTCTAAAACCCAAAACTATATTCTTTAAAATATCGTAGCATAGTGGGCTATATAACATTCACGTGAACCATCAGAACAAGCAGACAATACCTCAATTTAATGTCTTTACCACAAATTTGCTGTATTCAATTTTAATATATATTGAAATGATCTGTAGCATCAGCTAATGGGAAAATAGCGCCTGAAGAGTTTATGTAGATCTAAACTCCAGATCAGGTCTACTTTCTTAATTACGTAATTTATCAAATATTAATGCACAGAATTTTCAGCAACTATTATATTAGCCATCAATTCTACTTTTAGATCAAATTAATGAAATGCAGAAAGAAAAACAGCAAGTGTAACAGGCATGATTTATAATGGGCTCATGTGTTGCACTGAGTGCATTTGTGCCCTCCCCGCCTTATCCATCTGTCATAGCTAGAGATAGCACTCTTCCATAAACAAGAGTGTATAAAGATAGATTGCAAAGCTAAGCTAATTGTTCAAAATGAGCACTTTGGGAAAGGAATTGGAACATGATATAATACATACATAATGTATACTCTGAGCAGTGAATAGAAATAAGATGTGTTATTCCTGATGAATCACATTTTCATTACCGAGTT